AGGCATTCAAGGCCAGGCTGGATGTGGCTCTGGGCAGCCTGGTCTAGTGGTTGGCGACCCTGCACATAGCAGGGGGGTTGAAATTAGATGATCATTGTGGTTCTTTTCAACCCAGGCCATTCTATTATTCTGTGATTCTCTGATTCTCTGATTATATTTTCAGAATCTTAAAAAAAAAAAAAACCAAAAACAAACAAACAAACAAAAAAAAAACCCATGAAATAGGATTTTTGTTCAGATAATTTTCTGTCAATTGTCCCTCTGCTTCACTGAACATTGTTCCATTCTGTTCATTTGGCAAATACCTTGACACGGCATTTAGTGTTCCTGAATAGTCTGAGCTCTGTGCAATGCAAAGCACATCACCTTCAAGAGCATGTAATCTAATAAAACTTGTGACAGTCCTGGAATTTTCTCTTATGCACCCAGATTTAGAGTACAGGCATCATTATTATTTTTTGCTCATGTTTGGCTTTGTATTATTACCAGTGAGCAAAGCATGTGAAGCTTTCTATGTAAATCAGCAGTAATAGCAAATCTATTCGTCCTTTTCATTGAAGCTTTGGTAACTCACTTTTTCCAGAACAAAACTGAACACACACTAGAGTTTAAGAATAGATGTATTAAAATTCCAAGTATCTCAGAGGGTAAAAAAGATTTGCCAAGAATGAACTTGTCTCACAGAGTTAGTATAATATAAAATAAGAAGAAAAAAAAAAGGGGGGGGGGGAAGCAACAAACAAACTATTTTTCATGTTTGCAAGCAATAGGCTGGGTAATAATAATTAGCTTAAATTTTAGCAGGGAAGATTTGAGTCAGACTTCAATGGTTTTCTAACCATGTCATTTGTTAAGCACCAAAACAGATTTGTGGAAGCTTCATCTCTTAAAATTTTATGATGAGACTGGACAAGAAACGGTCAGGAATGAGTTAAGTTTATCTGATGCTGCTGTCAGACAAAGGGATGAGTTTGATTACCTCTCAAAATCCTCCCCACACCTCTCTCCCCCATATTCATCTGTTCATCTTCGTCTCCTGAAGATGCTCACTGTCTGAATTTACCCAACCTCTTATAGTTTCATAGACATATCTCTAGAAATAATTATTTCCTCAGCTCTTGCATGGTGCTTGTACCCATTGAGCTCTATTTGTTTGAGCACAGGACCAAATCTGACATTGCATTGGAAGCTGACCTTGTTCAACCTGGTGTTCTCATGATAGTTTTACCCCAGAAGAGGCAAGAAAATGCCAGTGTTAGCTAGCCCTCTACTATCTATTACTGTATATTATCTTCACGCATAGTTCCATCAGGTCAGATACAACAGTCCACACTTTTATTAACAAAAAACGTGGACTATTCTGGACATCAGGAACAAAGAAGGGAATTTCTCACAGTTAAGCGGAGCAAAAGGAGACAACACAACATTTAGGTTTGACACAATCGAGTCAGTGTTGCTGAGCTTTTAATTTCCCTCTAAATTTAGGTGGAATGTCACAGAACAATTGGTTGAATATTTATTTGTATCACACTACAATGATTAGCACAAGATGTAGTGTATATCCATATATATCTATGCCTTATTGCCAACAAGCTATAATGATAAGCCTTGCATTACACTGTAATATAACTTGAAAAGAGAGAGAGAGAAGGAGAGAGAGAGCACAAGAGAAAATGGAGATTAGATAGCAGGGAAAGAAAACTCGGATCACCACCCTTGGTTTCAGTGTAATCTCTGGTCCAGTAATATTCAGGTGGCTGGTGCACACCTGACTGCTGAGTTGTAGTCCTTTATATTTATTGCCAAATAGAGAGGTTTTTCATATGTATCTGTAGTTTGCCTGCAATGTAGGAGTAGGTAGGATTCACCATGTGCAGATGTGTGGAAGGAGGAAGAGTAGCATTGACCCTTCCCTCCATTTGAGCTGGGGGCTGAAGAGACCCTATCCCTTATCACGTTGGTCACGTAGGCTTCTCTCAAAGCAGGGGAACTTGCCTAAGCAAGGAAGGAGAGCTGTCCATCTTCCAGCATATTCTGCACCCTCTTTGGCAAGCACTTTTGCTTCCCTAATTCCAAACGCAAACTAAACATAGTTTCCTTCTTCAGAACTAAGCAATGCAGCAATGATTAAGACATGGAAGACAGTTTTAGAGGTTTTCCACAGGACTTTACACTGATATTACTTGGTGGCCTGAAGATTCAGCCAAGCATTTCAAGGACAGATCCTGCCTTTGATGGAAGCCGAAGATAATTTCTTGGTTAGGTCTTCCAAGTGTTTCTCTTTACTTATCAGAATGTTTCTAGTATTGCCCAGATTTATTCCACAGAAAATTTGCTGAAGTCAAGTTGCCTTTTCAGTAATTATAGTAGTTGCACCTGTTGGTGCAGATGAGCATTGATGGCATGTTATTGAATCTATCTGACCCCTTTGCATGTCGGATTGATTTACAGTGGACTCAGATAAACACTGAAAAGCCAGTGACGTTGGATAGATGCCTCTATAGTCTGCAAATTAAAGAAAATGGAAAGAAGCAGTACTGGCAAATGACTGTAACTACTGTAAGATGAATTTATTTATTACCATCAGCTCATCTTGGCACATGGATATTTCTTTGTCACACCACTAGACGTTGCAGACTCCTGAGATGTGCACCATGATAGAGATCTTATCCACATATACAGGAGATAAATTGTAAGATATACTATACATTAGTTATGCCAAGTGCTGGTGGAGCTCAGAGTTCACTAGTCAGGTAACTACTTATTCAAGATTATGGAGCCCTGGAATGAGCTGGTTTAGTTCAGGTTCAAGTTTGGAGAAGATTTTAAGTCAAGTATTTGTTTGTCTGGGACTATCTCACCATCAGTAGATGAGCCATATTCATGAAGTAGTCACTGTTTTCTTCTCCTTCTGAAGATATTTCAGAAAGCATTGGTGGAGTGGTTGTGGCACTTCACTGTCAAGATGTCCATCTTAGCCCTCACTCTTTTCTCAAATGGGAGCTGACCTCACTGTAAATGGATATTTGCAACTTGAGCAGCTGTATGCAGTGCTACACCATGTCCCCCTGTACACAAAAGGGTCCAAAAGCAGGCATATTTCAACAGTATTACTAAGATAGGCTTAAAGATTTCCTTGGACCTTTGCACTTTTTATATCTCTGCTCTAAATCACTAATCACTGCAAGAGAAGTAGCAATTAAATATAAAAAGTATGAACTGGGGGTTCAGTCCCTTTGGTACCAAGCATGCCTGCTATTGCTGGTCCTATATAAATCTGTGGCAGCTGAGGGTACTCAGCACCTCACAAGCTCAAATTATGAAGGGGAAAAAAGCTTTTGTAGTCAAAAGAAGGGACAGAAAAAGTGGATTTCTTGTGATTACTGATTGAATAACAGATTAACAGTAGTTGACAACAACAGCAGAGACATGAGGAAGTTTCAATTTCTGTTGACTGTTGATGTAGCACATATTTTATTTACACCATCTCCTGCCAGAAAAAATCTACAGGCTATTGGTGTCAGTTTCTAGAGAAGCACAGACATCTCTGATAGCTGCAGTTAAATTGAGGGATGTGCCAAATCCACGTGTTTGAGATACACTGGATGCCAAGTATTAGAATTGTTTCTCCCTGGCTGGCAAGTACAGATGCGTGTAAGGGTGAGACAGTAGCTTGAAAGCAGTTATGGTAGCTACAAGATGAGTGGGAGAGATGAAAATACTGCCATTAAAAGCAGCTGACAGCTTGGTGAACAGAGAAGCAGCACTGTGAGTTTCATGTTCTTCGTTGTATGACACTTTTTCTGTCATCATTTAACAGCACTTACAGGAAGATATTTATTCTAGGCTTTTAGGGTTTCTTTTCTTGCAACATATTCTACACTTTTATCATTCTCTTATTGGTATTAAAGTTATTTTTGTAACAAACACTTGTGATTCCCAGAGTAGATAATTAAGACTCCAGCTGACAATTAACAGCAGGAGTAATAAGCTCTTACAGCCAAAACTCACGGTTTTCATGTGAATGGCTTGTCAGTAATACAGCAGGAAAAGAAAAACAGTGCTCAAGAAATAGGAAGAAGGTGATGCAAAACATAGATGTAAGCCAAAATATTCCTCTTAGAAGGAATGGGACTCCTAGGAATCAGTGGGCAAATCCAGGTAAAGTCATAGCAAGAAAGATTCCCAGATCTAGTTCTTCTTCACTTCTACAATATATGTAGACAACAGAGTAACCACAGCAAGGATTATTGTTCATTTTGGGAAAGCAGGCTGCATTGCATGTTGTGGACCTAGGTGACTATTTTTATGAACTCGTCCAGGAGAGATAAAAAAAGCTCTGATTGAAAAGAGAACTTGAAGTAAAAGAGAAGGTGCTGAATGTCAGCTGCCATTTAACTGCTGGGAGGGGAGTAACCAGTTTGTTTACTGGTAATTGAGGTGGCTTCTTAATGTGCATACCATATCAGAATCTGAATACTAAAATGACAAAGTTACCCACCAGTTCCTTAGATGATTGCACTTTTGGGTCTTGGTCTCCGCAGCTGTGTGAAGTCAAACTGAGAAAGCAGCAGCTACTGCTTTTAGTCTCTGGACCATTTTTTAAAACAGGAACACTCAGTGCAGATCTTTATCTGGCCCTGTGGCCTTTCTCTGGCAGTGGCCAACAGCAACCATAGGGAAGAGAACATGTACATATATCATTTTCCCCATATCACTTTATAAAAAACACTTGGTCTTCCCCCAACAGCTGCTAACAAATACTGAGTAGAACATGCTAGCAGTATTATGAGATAGATGCTACCAGACCAACTTATCTAAGCCTATTTCCCATGTAAGACAATATGACTCCCACTTTCAGTCCTTAGTAATTAGGGCTCAATATGATGTTTTATGAAAGGATTACTTTTTAGTCAGGTTTAGTTATTGGTTTTGGGATTTTCTTTTTCTTTTTTTTTTTCAGAAGTGGCATCAATCTGTTCAGATACACAGAAATACAGACCACAAACTCAGTGGCAAAACTGAATTTATTTGTAAGTGACGAAATCTGCAGTTATCCTCGAATACAAATAATATAGAAGCAAAGACAGAAGTTGTTCCAAAGTCAACAAGGCCATGCAGGGATCACTTGAATAAAAATCATTATTCTGTGTCATCACTTACATCTGAAGTAAAACTAAGCCCCTAGCCCTGTAATTTACAATGCACAGAGAATCTGAAACTACTGAAAATTGTTGACCATTCACTGTTTATAGTGGGCTTATTTTTCAAAATCTGTGTTCACGTCAAACAGAATCAAATATCCTTTTCTAATATTTTTCATTCAGATAGCCTTTGTAATGTTCCTGTGACCATATCAGAATGTTACAGTATATCGTGAAAACATCTGAGTACGTGAATAAAGTGATGCTGAATTTCATTCCAAAGTAGATCTATTCTCCAGAAACTTTCATCTCTGGATGGGTGAAGAAGTAATCATGAAGTTCAGGAGACTGTGTGAAGAGGTATCTTTCCTTTTCCTTCATTTCTGATTGATTTAGATACTTTAGTATCATACTGTTCATTTTCTTAAGCTCTTCTATGTTCTTCCTTTCAGATATGAGTCTGCTTGATATTTGGTCCATCTTGTTTCTAGTTTGAACTTGGAAAGGAAAATATATCACATTAATTTTTCAGCATTTAAGTTAAAAGCATCACTACCCTCTCTTGCATTCCCAAGTGCGATTGTTGAGAATTTTGACGGGAGAGAATATTAAACAGGAAAACAAAAGCAGAATCCAATTGGAAAAAGTTAGGCATCTGATGGGAGTAGCCTGCTCACTGAATTCTTTGTGTTTATTATCTTTTTTTTTTTTTTTTTTTTTTTTAACTGCAGAGCAGTATAATACAACCAAGTACTCTGTCTCAGACAAATTTTGCAGTCTCCAGGAGTGTATCCATTCCATTTGTGTCCATGAGAAAATGTGATATTAAATGGCTCCAAGTTGCTATTTCTGGGCACTACTCACCTATGTTTTTCTAGAAGCACACTTAGTAAAGCACAACAAAGGCTACAGCCACAGCATTTGTTTTCCTAAAGCATTTAGGTTAGAGGAGAATTCTAGTAAATACTGGCATTGAAAGGCAGTGTTCCTCTGGAACACCAGTATGCAATACCCATTATATACACTTCTGGAGCTATTTTTATTTCATCCTTCTAAGGCTGACAAAATTTACCCATGGGTTTTGAAGCCAACAAAAGTTTAATTCTAGTGGTGTGCCAATGCAAAACAAGTCTATGCCTATGGATTTAAAGCATAATCTCAGACAAACACTAACAGTAGTTAGCTTCTAAAAGCGCAGGTTCGTACCATTTCCAAGCCCAAGTGAACTTCTTTAATCCCTCAAGTACCCTTTTCACTATTAGTTATTTTACAGTTTTTCTGCTTGAGGGACACATTACTCATTTATCTGCACACTTAGCAGCAGCCCGTTAAATATATCTGAAATTCAAATAGTAGATGTTTTAATTAGTGTTTTACAATCATGCCACTTAATGTTTTGTTCATATATTTGTCTTACGCTTTGTCTCTTGTGAGCTTGTGAGCAAGTTCAATCAAGGTTTAGGATTTCCTCTCAAGATGGAAAAAAGGATTTTTGCTAAATTCCAGTGAATTTCCTACTATAGAGTAAAAGTAATCTTAATTTCTCATGGATTACAATTCTTTCAAAATGGACTTGTGCATTAAAATAACATACCTCATGCTGTCCAATGCAATTAGTACAAAAATCCCCAAGATGACAAAGGCTCCATAAAGTAAGGCCACCTGTAGCTATGAGCTCAGCAACATTAACTGATCTATCCCAATCTGTCCAGCCCAAGTGGGGTAGTAAATATGTCTACAGACTTGATGCCATGTGACAATTTTGATATATCTTATCTGATTTTTTATTTATTTGAGGTTTTCTTAGTTCCAAACACTTTCCGATCAGTTCTTAGCTTGCAGTTTTCAGGTCTTTCTGAATAAAGGATAATATCTTAAAGGACCTTGATTTAGGTGCTAGCCTTAGTGTAATTCCACTTTCAGTGAAAAGCCACCAGTACTGAATTTCCTCTGGAAATATACAAAGCTTACTCATTGCCATATAGCTGTCTTAAAAATTTAATTTCATTTCCAGTCGGAGTTTTCAGGGACACACTTTCACACTTTGAACTAAATTCTTGACAGCTGTTTAAGCTCACAAAACCTTTGCACAAAGAACAAAGTTGTGCCTTGTAGCTCAGAGAACAGAGGCCTGTGCTTTTACACCCAGGACCCAGCTCACATCTAGCTAAAGACTTTAGTCATGCGTGTACAGCAGTAGGATGTTATAAAGTAGCATGAAGTAGCATGACACATTTCAGCAAAGTTCTTCCCCATATTCCCAAATTTTTAAGAATCACTGTTTGCTTTACTTACTTATTAAGAATATTACAAATGAAACAATTGCCAAACTGACAATCAAAGTAAGAATGAAGGCAATGAAGAAGTAGCACTGGTTTCTTGTTTTACTCCCTGTCATGTCCTCTCTAGTGCCACCGGTGCTCTCAACATCCTCATCTGTAAAGAGATGACAAGTCATTTAGTGATGAAGTTTGTTCAGTTTCATTAGAATAAGCACGACATAAATTCTATGATCCTATGAAATGTGGCAATAAGCCCTAATGATAATAGGTGAAGTCAAGTGAAGACCATGAGAAAGTTCATGCGAATTTCATGAGATTTCAGAGATTTCATGGTAGAAATCTCTGACAGTTTTGCAACTGAGCCTGTAGTGATAAGCCTGAGGGAAGGATGCATGTGTCATAGTAGCACTTCAACAATGAACAAACCTGGGCTCTGAGCAACTGGCTGAACTAGCAGGAGATCTTCAGGAATATCTCAGTTTTTCTTTATTGCATTTAACATGCTCCTGCTTCAGGTAAGATTAAATTTTTTAATATTTGGGAGGGATTGTGTTTTTTCCCTTAGCATTCATAACAAATGCATCATATACCATGCACATGCACCAATATTGCTTTCTAATTAGAATAAAAAGGAAGGCGACCTCCTGCTACTACTGTCTCTCAAGAACAGTAAGCTATCAACAGAGTTCTCAGAAATATTCCATGCTTGCTCTACATGATCAATGCTTCTTACTGGCTGAGCTTGCCAGGCTATAGTGCTTCAAAGAATCACTGAATACAGACTCTTGTCATGCTGCAAAGAATGGGAAAACATTTTATTGTTTAAAACACAAAGAAATTTTTGCATGGCTGCTACAAGGCAATCCAAATGTGTTTACATTTTAAATAGCTTTTAACATGCTAATGTGTTTGATTATGCCAGGTCATATTGAGCTACTGGATGAAAGGATTGCCATGAGTACTGCAACACTCCTGAAACATCATTTTTTAACCTAACTGGGCATCTGCTATACTGCTAAACAGATTGTTCATGAGAATGTAGTATTTACAGAACTGAAAAGTATGACACAGCTCTCACTGATTTTCTGGCAAGAGAACCAGAATTTCATGCTGCTGAATAAGGCAAATTCATCTATTTATCTTACCTACAGAATTTCCAAGCTTTAAAAAACATTAAAAAGACAACTCTATGTGTTAAAAAGAATAGTCCTAGATGAATACAAAGCACTTTACAAGTGGATGCGTAAAATATGTATTAGGCTACCTTTTATTTACTGTTGAGTAGGAGAAAGTTATTTAAATCCGGAAAGGTATATTATATATATTAAGCTATTTAACTAGAAGGATTATTAATGTATGTCCCTTTGAATCCCAAACATTCTGTAGTTCCATACCTTTTCTTCAGTCAAATTTGCCATTACAGTAAATAAAAACTGATCTCTGCTCTCTGGTGACAGTGAAGGAACCCAAGGAAATGGCATGAAGATGTGTCAGGGGTGGTACAGATTGGATGCCAGGAAAAGGTTCTTCACCAGAGGGTGGTGGGCACTGGAACAGGCTCTCCAGGGCAATGGCCATGGCACTGAGCTTCCTGGAGTACAAGGAGTGTTTGAACAACACTTTCAGACATATGGTCTGAGTTTGGGGTGTTACATTGTGGACCCAGGAATTAGGCTCCTTGTGGATTCCTTCCAACTGGGGATATTCTATGATTTTATGGTTCGAAAAGCAGTAGAAGTGGGAGAGCTCATATCTGAAACTAAAGAGATTCTGTGAATCAAAATGCTTAAAAGCCTCTTAGGAAGCTTCACATTTGAGTCCTTAGGAGATATGTCTTAAAAGAATGAACAGAAATTCACTGGCATTTCTATTGCCACAAGTGAATTTTAGCTTGGGAAGAGTTACAATGCTATCCATGGAAGAAGTGTAGACTGTGCAGTATTAGAGAAGTTACCTTGTCTGATGGAGCCAAGTAGAAAAGAGAGACAAATTCAGGCTTCACAGTGAATCTTTAGTCAAATGTAAGGATTTCCTAGAATCTGACACCTGAAGTAGTCACCAGCGGTAGCTAAACCATTCATCTGGTGTAAGCTTTTTTTTTGTTTTCCCTTAAAATTTTCAACGCAGAGTTTGACATATTCATCTATTGGGCTGTTGACACCTGTGCAATACGATGTTGTTAGTGTTTTCCATTTGCTTTATAGCTTATTAGTGTACAAAGAATAAACACAAAACATTGTCATACGTACCCAGAGGACGCTGGAATTCATCTGGGCAAACATTTAGTTTGTTTAGGTTGTTTAAGGAATCAACTACGTAAAGCTTTCTTTCTTCATCGGTATTGGGGAGGTTAATTTCCAAAGAAGTTTTCTCCATTGTATCTAGAAGAAATAATAATTAAAAATTTAAGTTAAGTTATAAAGATGTAAACCGACTGCTAATAGTAGGTGTCCTGATCTGAGAAGCAGCTGTAACAACCCCTAAAATTTAGGGACTTGAAGGACCAGCACATTTGAAGGCATAGGTAACCCAGTGTGTAGCATCTGTTATATATTCTTACAAAGCTTCATTTCTACATTTTATCTGTGTACCTGTGAATGCACATATGTACACATATATACATATAATTGCACATATGTATGAATATATGTATGTGTGGAGAGAGAATATCTGTTTCACTAATATTTATTTGGGCATTAGATATTCAATCGTGTAACTTTTTCTAGTTTGGTGGATACTTATTAAGATGAAGAGTGATACCTGACCACAGTGAAAGCCAAATCTTCACCAGCATCAACAGTAAGGATGTCACATAGAACCTGCAGTTTCAGCACCAAACTATTCAGTGATGAGACATGGCCAGAAAGCAGGTATGGGTATAGGAGGTAAGAATAAGCAAGAATATAGGTCTGCCTATGCACCTTGTAGTGTCACTGTGAAGTTATAATTTGTGAATAATGGGGGAAAAAAAAATATGTATTAGTTGTACTTCATATAAATGTGAATTATGGACAAGTTAAAGCCTGATGACAAAACCTTTTCTTCAGACCATTACCCCTTGCCTAAAGAAAAACATTGATTGAGGCATAACAAGGAAGTGTGTCACTGCAGTCTGGGTGCGTGAAATGTTTCAGTGATTACACAAACAAATTCAGCTATGAAGATTGTATAGAAAGAATATGCACTACCTAAGCAAGCTCCTGTATGTGTTGAAGCACACAGTTCTAGCCATAAAGAGATGCAGTCACTCTAACAAGGCAACTTAGACCACACTGGTCACCAAAAGCTCCCACTGCAGTTACTGAAGAAAAATATGTTTCTCCAGGAAATACTCCTTTTCTATCTAGATAAGTCTTTCCAGACCTTAGAATTGCAGTCTAAAAATACCTTTCCTTGCCAATGAATGTAAAGCTGGTGCTTGCAGTGGTTATTTTAGCCCTAATGTTGAACAAATCTTACACACTGTATATTTTATCAAATCCCCCAAGTTCAGTCTTGCCTGCCAAATACAACTCAACATTTCATGAGATGTAAGCCTCACCCTGATGAAAGATGTTAAGCACCTACAGGTGATTTCTGAATCCTAGATAAGTTGAATCGTCCCCTTGACATGCCACTCCCTCTGTCCATCTCCAATAAATTAAAAACATTGTAATTGGATTCCTAACTCAGCACTTCACTGGAAAACCTAACTAAAATGTTTGAGGAATACAGGCATAAATGGCTATAGAAAACACCTTTCTCTTACAAGAGAAGATTGCCACAATTCCCTCAGATTTGAGCACATAAGCATTCCCTGAGTTTTAAGCACTGAAGAGTGAGTGCTTAAACTGACAGGCCTACATGTATACTTTTACACTTATATTTAATAGAGCATAAGAAAAGCTTGCAACTTGGTTTTTTCTCCCTTCAGAATTGTTGAAAAACACAAAAATAAGGTAGCAGTGGTGAACTGTACCTAGCACCTGACTTCCCTTTGTGTAGCAGTAGCTTCAGGCAGAAGGTTGTATGCACTTCCATTGCCCTGGCACGTCACACAGTGTGAGATCACACCTCGGCCAGCCCCACTGCCACCTGCACTCTCACTGCTGTCTCTCCACAAGCACACTCATGGCCAGCTGCAGCCACACAGAGCCGTGCATTCCTACAACAGCAGGCTCAAAGTTACCATCTCATGCACAAATGCTTCTGGTTATTTTTAGCTTCCAAAGAGCAGTTATTTCTCTGGGATATTCTGATTAGTACCTCTCTGCTGCTTCAGGAAAGACTCTCCTTAACAGCTTGAGCTGTAATAAATGTGAGTACCTTTTATGCATTACTATTAGTGGAATTACACATTTCTAATTTCATAATTATTTAAAACCAACTTCCTCCCTGTGCACGTAACTGCAGTGAAGGAAACCCCTATGTTTTATTTTCCAGTGATATTTCAAATAAATGTGAGAGGATACATCAGTGTCACTGGCCAAAGGTATTGATGAGTCTTCCAACAAAATAAAACATTGGATTGATTATACTTTGCAAGTCTTTCTCGCACTTTAATCTTCTTTAAAGAACTTTTCCTCATTTGATTTCTAAATTTCTCCCTAAATTGTTGTAATAAAATGAGAAATTAGTGTGAAGACACTGAAAGTTCTTAACAGGGAAAAAAAAAAAAAAAAAAAAAAGAAAAAAAAACAGTTTAGAAGGATTTAAAATAACAGGAAAATGAAATGTTACTTACAACATAGCCACGTTCAGGTAAAAGGCCAGTATGGAGGAACTCAGCCCGTGCCAAAGCCCCAGAGCAAAACTTGTACTGCTCTTCCCCTCCACTTTTAGCCCCATAGGAGCCTGTCAGCCCCTGCAGGACCCATGAAGGCAGTCATGAAACAGACTGTCTCTTTCGATCTATATTTAGCGTTAATCTCAGCCAAGCACACTGACTTCACCGTATTGAACTGTTTAAAAGGAAATCAGCATATGCACAGCTCTTTAATATACTGGAATCATTAAATATCCTATAATGGAAAAATAATGTGTTATTGAAGATCAATATTTCACTAAACCTTTGCTTTATGATTCCTTTTTAAAACTAGTTTGCTACGAAAAAAACGTCATAGCAATATTACTGTAGTTATGAGTAACAAGTTTGCTATGCAGACGTCATTTCTACATTACTGCAGTTGTATGTACTTTAAAGGCATCAACTGGAAAAGTTACTTTCCTCCTCCAACACCTTACAAATTCAAGTATATTACCACCTGGACCGATTTGTACAGCATCCAGAAAATAAACTCTAAGCTGATTGTAAGTACTGATGGTTCATGGAAAGATCTTTCAATCGCTGTTTCTGTTGCTAACATTGCAGAACATAATGTTACAGCACACCATTGACAGGCAGCTGATGCTAACAGGGAGCGTGGGTCAAAACAACAAATCCTTTCTCAAGCAATTCTCTACTTCCATAATATTGATCTACTTTAAACTGACCACGAATGTACTTTTCTTTCAGAAAAGATCACAAGGTGATGCACCTACTGACTCAGTTCCCCTCTATAAGGTGACAGTCTCTGCTGCTGCACTACCAGTAGCTGTGCCAATAACGCAGCTTGCTCCCTTCCTGCTTGGTCCCCTAGAAACCCTCCCTTTAAGCAAGGACAAGCAAAAATAAAAAAAATAAAAATTTCTATATATATATAAAGTATATATATTATCCCACTTCTATCCCTGAAAGATTCCTGACACCATCCTAACTGTAAGATGAAGACTTAACACTCCCCTGTTCTAAGCTTGAAAGTCTAAAACATCACCAGATCTCGAGCAGGCAGCAAAGAAGCCCAGCCCATCTCCTCCGCTCTAACAACCTTGGACGCCATCCCAGTCCCTGCCGCTGGCACCTACAGCATCCTGGGGGAAAGGGGAACCACGTGCCCGGCCACCTGCACAGGGGCGCTGGATACTTTGCGAACTTCCGGAAGCACATAAAGCTCTCAGAAGTGCTACTCTATGCTGGTGAAGTTCACCAAAGGTGACCACCCACAGCCAGAGACAAGCAGGCTGGTGGGAACAAATGATGCAAGGGGAGAATCACAAGCCTTAGGCCAGGCAAATGCAGTCAGCTTGATCTAGGTCAGAGATCAGAATGAAAGAAGACACGTTCGCAGAGCGGCTGACGCAGAAGCTCTGGCTGATCTTGGTCTTCACATAAACTTCCTCACTGTCCCCACATAAGTCTGTTATTGGCACATTTCAGTCCTCTAGAGAAGGAAACTGGAGGTAGGAGGTGGCTTTCAATATGGAACGGCATTTAGAATGACTCCGGTCAGGCAAGAGATATTTTGTAGCACCAAAACTAGGAAATGTTCGACCTTTAGTCCGCAGATTGCTGCCCATTACTAAACTGATAAGAAAGCAACGACCACTGCTATGCAGATTATATACAAGATACAGCTCCCAAACAAAGCAGTCGTTTCAGGTAACATAGTTAAGACCACATTCTGCAACAGGCAAGCAACAGTAGTTGTGTGTAAAATAAATCCCTCTCTTTCACCATTTAGGTTGCGCCAGCACTTCAACTTTTCATCAGAGTAGTAATCATATTAAGACAAAGAACACAGTGAGAAACATCTTTATTCCAAAAATTAAACACCTGATTTCAAAACATAAGAATCTTTATTTTACACTGAGGCAAATATCTTATTTACTGCTTCCTTGTGAGTGAAGGTAATTCAGCTCCACAGTACCCTTCACATAAATTCATACTATAGAGGAATTTATTTGTTCATCTGCCACTTAAAGTTTTAAAAGGTACTAAAAATCATTTCACATGAACAAGTTCATCCTTCCATATTAACACAATCTTACCCAAACACTTGGTCAATGAATATTTAATTTACCTTACTATAAAGTAAGTAATCAAATCTGACACATGGCAGTTGATTACATGTATGCACCCCATTTAACAGTTGAGTTACAATATGTTCAGGTTTGGATTAAGTTACACCTAATCCAAGTGTTACAATGTACCCCACACCCAGTCTCACATCCATCTATGTACAGTGTATATGCAACTGAGCAACATGCATTCTATTTACAGATTTTATACAATATCCCTGTGCACAAGTGCAAGCTGTGACTATTGAAATTTAAAAAAAGTCATTCAAAGGTTACAAATTTGTTTTAATTATCAAAGACTTAAAATTAAGCTCCACAGAGATCTAAAAAAATTCCCCTACATCCGCTCTTTTGTCACGGCATTTACTTCTTGCTTTTGTCCGAGCCTTGAATGCTGCTGAGTTATATAAGTGCTATAAAATAAAAAGAAATTAAATTAATCACACAGTTGTTCAAAAGGTTGACGTTCCTCAAATTCATTTTAATATGCAAACATTTAAAGGGAACTGTATAAGACATATGTACATGTTCATGTTTGCACAGCCAACATAACAAAGGCATCCATCTTCCCAGTATCCTTCTCACTAGAGATTTGAAGAAACTGTCTCTATAAAGACTCAGTTTATACTACTTCCTGAACATTCCCACCCAAAAACCTAGTGCTTTCGTAAGAGCTCACACATCACATGTATGGAGCATAAATCAGACAATAAATCAGCAAACTAATCAATCCTCAGATCCACACTTGGGAGGACAGCAGAAGAAGGTGCCAGTGTAAAAGCTAAAGAGCTCAGAGACAACTACAAGCAAGACTTAGTTTCATGCAGGACAATACAGGGCTTGGTTTCAAGGTACAAGCTTAAAGCTTACATCTTCTAAAGTCTGTGACTTGAACACTACTTAATTCAGGAGAACTAGCATGATACATAAATACATGAAGGTGCAATAACCTACCCTTTCAAAACGGGATATCTTCATTGTCTTAAGAGTTGCAGCATCTAGCATGACTGGTGGACCAAGCTCAAACACATTCCGGAGAAAGTCATTTGACTAAAGAAAAAACATATCACATTGCAAGTTTCCCTTCCAGTGAGGGTAAAAAAGGGCTATTAAGAAATACCAGTATCCCAGTAAGAAACCTCTTGCAATTACACCAGGGAACACTTCTTCCTCCTATGAGGAGGCAGCCAAGAACTAAAGCTGTCCTCCTGGGAGAAAGCATAACCCCCCCCACTGATTTTCATATATCCCAGCAAGTAAGACACTGTTCTGCTACATCCTGTACACAAGATTAAGTAACTGGACACAGACCTGTATGTTTCACAACACACATTTGTTGCATCTGCTTGTAGAAGTTACATTTGAAAATTTTAGGGTATTTATTATGGACCCACACTTCCCTTAGTTAGAGATGGACACTGCTTTGTAGCAGCCATCTGACTACACTGTTCTACTGAAACAAAATTCAGGAGAATATTAAAATACGTCCTGATACAAGATACAGGCAGGCAAGCAGGGCTTTTACTTTGCCAAATTGAAAGAAACAGCAAAGTATTTCAAAACAATTTTTTTTTTTTATTACTTTTTATAACTGATGTCTTATAAAACTGGTTAACATGAAAAACAAATTTAACGAGTTCCACCCATGATTTTAGGCCTCTGTTTCAACTACCAGACAGGGAAGAGACAATCCCTAGATAACAGCAGTTTGAGCATGTAACAAACAGCAGCTCACCTGCAGATGATATTGCATCCCTGACCCCAGAATCTCCTTAAAGGTATCGTAAGTCTGTTTTTTAACCCAGCAGTCAATATACATGCGCTCAGGTCCAAATTTCACTGTCTCTGTAGGAAAGTCTCGCTCCTGTCCAAAATGAAAGGAAAAAGCACTTCAATTTCAATTTAAATATTCTCCAGTACTTTATTTTCATTAGGCTCATTCTGGATATCAAAATTTCACAAATAATGTAACATGTATATTCTGTAAGTCTTACCAATTCATAAGCCAACATGTACCAGAAGTTAAATCTCGTCTAGAGACTTGAAGGTTATGTTTCTCAAGTCAGAAAGCTTTTAAAGAATATGTAACTGACTTTCATCTGACTTAAAGAATTGAGCTCATCTCCAGAAAAAATAGTTCTAAGTACGGGTCACCTTTCACTCTGTGTGTCAAATTTATATCCCACCTTGAAGAGAGCTACACTGCTAACAGTGGGACATAAGAGTTGCCAGTAAATGGCTCAGATTCCTCTGCAGGTAGTCTCAAAGGTCAATTCAAATAACTTCAAAGCCTTCTCATTGGCTTCTGCGATGCACAAGAATTAGGACAACAACTCCCACCTACCAATACACAACTTTTTCTTTGGCTCTCGACAGAGGAATGTATCTCACTTCTACACTTCTTTTTGTTCATTATGCACATATCAATTCATTACAAGATTCTACAATATTTTAAAATAACCTGAACGTACTGCAAAGTTTTGTATTAAAAAAATCTGTTTGTGGTATAAAATAAAAGGAATTTAGTGTTTAATACGATGCTTAACCTCTTAACCAGAAAAAGCCCTCTGGAAAATGAAAGCCAAGTTAAGAAAGTAAAATTTGACTTTGATACATTCCTAAAAGCAGCTCTGTTTAACATAAACTAGCAGAACAATCTGAAATCATATTTAAAATAATTCTCTGCCCCTTTCACAGAAATTCTATTTCACCATAGAAGCATTTTGAATTAATTGTACACTACACAGTTACAATCAAGCACTCAAGTAAGATGGAAGAATTACCTCAACAGCTCTCAGAACATCTCTGAACACAGATCGCTGCTTTCTTTTATCTACTTTGGCTCTGTGCTTATTTCCATCAGTAGCTAAAGCTCGCAGTTTCTCTGTTAGAAGTTCCATATCTTCATAAAAGAAATCCTGTTACACACACACACACAAAAAAAGGAAAATCAAACAAAAAATTAAGAAAACATTTTAAAGTTTCTGGTCTCAGTATCTGTCCCTCCAAGAGACTGGTCTTTCCAAATTCTGGATATGGAGACCTCTACAGGCTGATACTTCATTATTTAAAGAGGCAGGGATGTCACTAAAGACCTTCAAGCCAGTAAGAATGGAGTCACCAGTTTATCCAATTGGAAACTATCAACTCTGTGCTGGTTTTAGAGCCCCATGAAACAGTTCAGCTCCTTCACTGTGCATATAAACATATACCTGTCAAGCTGTTCTGCTCCACAATTCCAAGGGCCTCAAACTGCCTAACTGATCTGCTGAACCTGGCTGGCAGTCCTGCTGATAAGCTGAGGGCACTTTCAGGTCATTAGCACAGAATTCATGCCTCTGAAGATGGATCACAAGACGCTACTGGACTGACATTAAGGAAAATGTAGTCATAAATCTTGTATGAAGTAGGAAATGTGAAAATCGTTAGGAATTTTTTTTAAATGCATCACTCTTCAGCATGAGATATTTTCTCCCCTCTATTAACTAGCTCAGTGCAGTTGAACTGGATGAATAAGCCACTTATGTAAAAACAAGCATCTCATCTAAACATGTCAGCTGACTGGACTGAATCTACTGCTTGCTTTTTGAATTAAACTTACCAATGGTAAAATATTTTTAATTTGCCTGGCTTTTAAGGATCCAAAGATTACTTGTAGTGATTAAGGGGGCTTTTCCTCAATGAAATAGAACAGGATTAGAGAAAATACTGACTTATTAATTAATGAATTTATAGTTATTTGCAGACAGTTTGACCAAGTAAAAGATCAAGTTCTGGTTTCACTTTCTCTCCACAGCTGAGACTCAATTCCCTACTGCTTGAAATTATACAGAAGCATCAGCATATCCTTTCAAATTTTGTAGTGTTAAGTGCATTGTATATCCTTACTCAAAACGTTCCTTCTTAATTTGCAAACTGACCACAACAGATAGAGGTGCTGTGTGTTATATAATACTAGTTATTCCTCTCAAGGATACCAAAAAACAGTACTACAAGTAAACACTGGTTTTACAGAAGGATGGATTTTCAGCTGAGAACAGAATGGTGCAGGTTACGAGTCATTAGAACTCATTTCCAAATAGTAAACATCTAATGAATATTCCCATTATAGCAAGTTGTGTTTTACATTGGAAAAAAAATAAACACCACACTATTTCCAAGGATATTTTCTCCTCTTTAAAAAGCCGGTATTCGATTTAAGTGCTAATGCTTACATATTGTATTTCTAGTTACTCTTACTTGGCATTATTTTATTTTTAATCTAGTCCTGCTGTGCACCACTGAAGTCAGCATAAAAATTACAGTTGAACTGCAGTGAAGTCTTGCTATACATCCAATTATATTGGGGTCATCCTGCTACCAAGAACACAGCCAGGGAATTACATGACGCTTACTGATATCAGAGATGCCACAGAACACAGGTTAAAGCATTTGTCGTCATCACTTCAACGCAATCAAACAGCAAACCAATACTTACAGCATCTGTTTCACGTGCCAGCTCAAACAGAAGAGCTAGTGTTTCTCCAGCAGCTATTCTCATGTTGACATCATCACAAGACAGCATACTTGGAAGTTTATGCAAGTGCCTAAGGAATTAGTCATATTTCATTAACACGTTATTGACATTGCTTCACTGCACATAAAAAAAGATAATTACAAATGTAGCTTTGCAGAAAAATGCTCACATTTCAATTTTCTTCTTTACTTCATTCATTGGACAAATGGTCAACAACAGCGTCCATGCTAAGAGCGCACTGATGTGAAGCACAGTACTGGGTGTACTTGATACCCCGTTAGTGTCTCTATCTCGTGGATAAGCTTTTGTGAAGACGCTTTCTAGGCATTCCATAGTAGAGTACAGTTCCTGAAGAAAAGAAAAAAAAAAAAGAACATGGAAGTTGCTGAAGACTTGCACATTTTTCTTAAATTGACAATATGAAAAAGTATTACTTATCCTCACCGTAATGTCATCGGTGACAATGAAACAGCAAATCCCTAAGCAGGTTGCACACTAGACAAAAAAAAAAACAAACAACTGTTAGCATTTGATGGTGATGTCATTGTTGACAAAATGCTTAAATCTGACATTTGGAACTTAGCAGAATAGAAGTCTTTATAACCCCAGCTGCTAAGGCATTAATCTCAATAGCTTAACCCAGCTACTTCATAACATTTAGACCTAAGTTCCTCTCTTCCCTCAAGATACTACATATGCCACTCAAGCTTTCACCTTTCCTTTTGTACAACATACAAAGTCCTTCCAAAACAGTGTACATAGCACTCCTTTCACCCAATTATATTAAATCCCACTGGAATCCACTGGCAAAAATTATGCCATAACTACTGATCTGTATAAAATATTTATTTACAGCTGCAGGAAATCTTTCTGCCTCTGTGCCCACTCTTCAGTTAAACAGTGTGAAAACACCAGCTTCAACAGCCTGTCCTGGAACAGTCCAGCTTTTAACTGCAAGGACCAACAAGTCCCATCCCTACTGCCTGTACTATTGTTTTTACAAAAAAGATCTTATTTTCAAGAACAACATTTGCACTAACCACACAAGATCCTGAACTAAACTTTAAAAAGTTAAATGCTAGAGCAAGCTTTAATAACTTTGGTTTGTAGAAACAACTGCTATTGAACTAATACTACTGTATTACTGTAAACTTTTTGTGCTAGCAGTACCTATTTTAATGCAGCTAGAGTACACTAGGAAAAGTAATAATAAAGACAATGGCAAGTTAAGAGAAATCTGTTAAAACTCTGCTGTTCTGCGAGAGGTTACTGTGAAGAGCTTTAGATTACCTTCAGTTAATACTTTGAGTATACTACTGATTTACAGTTAAGATGTCTGGGCAAACAAATACCAGATCTGTGTATGAAGTATGTAATTTTAGATCTACTGCTAATAATTTCTTCATGTACATTTGCATGAATAATAATCTTCTATTATTAAAACAAATACAGAAAGGTACGTCAGAACTGTAGTAACAAGACAGTTACTGAAATATTAGTTTAGGCACCTGAGAAAATAGGTGATGGAACACTTCTTTTTTGAAGTCCCCATGCTGAAGGAGAACGGCATTCAACCTTCACGTAGAGCTTTTTAAGATAGTGAAAACAGCTATGCTTCACTCAGAACTTAAGTCAACATTAGCTGTTTACACTAGTGTAATAACCTTTAGTTCTGGATTACACAACAGTGAGATTGTCTAAATCTGCCCTCTGTCCCTGACTAGCAAGCAAAATATATGAACTTTTTAAACACTTACAGCCTGCCTGGCTTGGATACTAGCTGTTCCGTCAGAGACAATCTTCTTCAGAACTGGACCAAGGGTCTTAAAAATCTCTTCACTTTCAATTCCCGACCCCATCTGCACGCAGAGAAGACATGCCAGTCCAGCAGCTGCACACAGTTCCTCACTCTTACCTAGACATTAAAATACTAAGATGAGTGATCTCCTTGTGCACTCCTTCCTTCCTTTAAAGACACTTGTTCAAAAATCTTTAAGTAGAAATTCAGAAATCATAGACAGTATTACTTCAGTTAATTTTCTAGGTCAGTTAAAATAAGACGTCCAAAGAAAATTAGTTAACAGAACTAAAATTAACTGCTCTATAAAGTACCAGATAAGCCTTAAAGATAACTTCTTTAAAACAAGCATTTCACCACCATTGCTGCTTTCTAATAGTAACCACATTAATTACCTTTTTTTATGCAGCGTTCAATGCTATCAGTTAGTGTCATTCTCCTTTCCATTATAAATTCATATAATATTTTAGAAGAAAAAGCACTTTTCAGACTTTCAAGAGCTGCTTGTCTTGTTTTGGCACTGTTGGAAGAAAAAAAATCTCCTTTGAAATCAACAGCAGTTAAAGCTCAGTCTTTGACTTCACAGTAGTCTCCATCTGCATAGTCCCCACGAAAGAGCAATCTACAGTCACACTGTTAAGTACAAAGCATTACAAATTATCCCCTTCCCTCAAGAAAAGAAAAATTTGGGTTGATGCATTTCACAACAGTAAACCAGGCTACTTTGAACTATTAGCAAAGGAGAATTTGATTCTCACTTATTTAAAAACCCAGAGGGAGAAAGTTCTCTTCAGATCCTAAAGAAACACAAGTCCTCCCCAGCATGAAATAATCAGAATTTCAATAAACTTTCAAAAAGAAGTTCCCTTACTCTATCAGTAAGCCAGCAACATATGAATTCATTTCTTTAAAGCACATCATACCTTTTGTCCAATGTAAGATCAATGAATCCCTTCAATTTGTATTCTAAGTCTTCTTGAGTGGCTTCTTCATCAACTTCAGGCCCTAAACCACAACAAATAGTTTAGTCCTACTGATACACATTAGCAGAGTCACATCTATCACTAAATACTAGATCTATCAAAAAAGTATTAGTAAGAAAGTAGACAGACAACAGCAACAGAATTTTTTAGCATTACTACTATATTCAACATCTCTCCTAGAAATATCTTCATGAAAAACAACCTGTTGATACAGGTATGCTGTTCCTATTACCTGTTTGGTACATGCGCTAAGAAAGAATGTACAAGCTAATTAGGTCTCACATAGATTTTGTACAACTGAAAAACCAGTACCCAGTCAAGTCAGCAGTGAATTTTCATTCTGTCCACTCTATCTACCCCTGCAGTACAGTGAAACATTCACTGTTGATGCACTGAGCTCATCAACAGCCTCTCTTCCTGGCATCACTTCTGACATCTCTGCAACAGTGGCTCAGGTAGGACATGACCAAGGCTCCCAGCCTTATCCCACTGTAGCAGCAGCAGGCCTTCAAGCCCTACCCTCCCAACAGTGTTATTAGCAAGAGCCCAGGCAGAGATGGCAGATGAGACAAGTTACTGCTTCCACAGAAGAGTCTTTTACAGTATAAATCTTGTTCAAAACACAATGCAATTCACTCCATGTCAATCTCTCCTGCAACCCCTACCACCTCAACTAAGTTATAAAAATTCTATGTCCTGCAATACACCTTAGAATTGTGGGTTTTTTTTCCCCTCTAAAAATTGTAATTTATAATTCCAATAGAAAGAAGCCTACCAGTTTCTCCACTAGATGAACAATCATACAGTATTTAACAGAATGTCATTATATTGCTACTGCTACTTACAGTCTAGTATTCATACAAGAGGAACAGACAAAAATTAAATAATATACCATCCTCTGTGAAGCTAGCGGGATCACTGAAGCCACTGCAGTGGCTCATAGTTTCAATTGAAGCATCTTCATCACTAAAAGGCTGCACATTTCTGGGCTGACCACCTTAAAGAAAGATGAATACAAGTTTAGTCATTTTCACGTGGAAAAAAATCCGAATACTAAAAGTAGAATCCCTGAGCACGCATGCATACAAAAAGCAAGGCCTTCCCCCTGCTAACTCCTTCACTCTCACCCTTCCTAAAGATCTGTTTAGCTTTGTTCTAGGAAAACCAAGTATAATAGGTAAAGAACTCATCTCATTTTCAAAGTATTGGTAGAATTCCTAACTCAGTATTTAGTATCTTCCTACAATCAAGGTCAAGTTTATGCAACTTCCTGTGACTCTGTTTTAAAAATAGCGTTGTTTTATGTGTTAAAACCAGCTACCTAAAATAGCTTGTTCTAAAATCTTTTCCAATTTTGAGAGACTTCAAGCATACACATGCAGGCAAACATACATTACCCAGTTCAGTACTGGATTTACTGGATTAAGTGCAGTATGTGCATAAGAAGCAACACTTGACCCTGGGCTCCCATCGACCCTTCCAGCTGTTAAGATTCTAAGCACAGAGCTGTAGTTTTTGTTCACTTTTAATACTGGTAAGACAAAAAACTGGAACATCCAACAGGAGGGAATCCTTGCAATAAGGCCTCCTTTTAGTTCCATCAGCCTCTTCAAAGAAAGCAACGTTGTTTCACCAGAAGCTGATCTCTGTAGCTTTCCACAAACTTACCCTATTTTTAGAGCAGTAAGAGTTGATGTTTGAGCTGATAATGCACTCCTATTGCTGCCTTATCCTAGCTCTTAGTACCTGCCGTAGTTGATTAACAAAATCAATAGTTCTACCGGTGTTTCTTCAACGGCTCTCAGAAGCCTTTCACAGAACTCAGAATTCTAGTTTTCCACTCAATTTTGGATCATTTACAACGCAAAAAAATTATGCCAGAACCCAGTGCACAACGCTTGCCTGTGCCAGGCAGGCTTCTTCAGCGGGAGAAGCGGCAAAAAACCGCCGGCAGCCGTCCTCAAGCTGTGATGAGGGCAGCTGCACGAGGACCCGGCGAATCGTCTGCTTTATCTGAGTCAGACAGACGCGATGACAGCCCCAAGTGAGATTTCTCACCACCCCACAAAGCCCCCGCGCTCTCCAGTCACCAACACCTCATCGACCTCTTTTCCGCACGAACCCCGCTCCCTACCAAGACAGTTCTGGAACCCTCCTTTAGGATAAGCGGCCTCCCGCGCACAGGCAGCGCCGCGCAGCCGCCGCAGACCCCGGGACTGACAACAGCGCCCTGCCCGTCCCCGGTACGGTCCGCACTGCCGGCGGCACAGAGCGCACACGGAGCCGTGCGTGCCCGGGACGCGCCGCAGCGCTGTTACCGCGGCCCCTGCGGGCCCCCAGCGGCGCCGGGCGGTACCAGCCGCGGGGCGCTGCCGGCGGCGCCAGGCACGTCCGTTGCCCCCCCCCCCACTCCGGCGCGGCGCAGCCGGGCGCATGCGCGCTAACGGCGCGAGGTGGCGGTCGCGGGGCCGGCTCCCGTCAGCCCGCGCCCGGCTCCGGCCCGGCGCTCCGCGGCCACGCCCCGCTGAGGAGGCCCGGCCGGCCGAGGCAGCGCGGCCCGAGGCCCCACGAGGCCGCATGCGCGGAGCCCCCGCCCGCCCGGCTCACCGGCCCCCCGCTGGTGGTTGCTCCCTCGCTTCTTTGACTTGGGCATGGTCGCAGCGGCGCTCGGCTGGGCTCGGCTCGGCTCCTCGGTTCCTCTCTGGGTCTCGGTCTCTCTGCTCCCCCCCGCCCGGGAATCAGCGACAATCAGCCGATGGAAGAGCAGGATCGCTTTTTATTCCAACGCCTTTGCGAGGCCGACTTCTCGGGCCGGGGCAGCGGAGGTGATTGGCGGAGGCAAGCGAAGGACGAACTGGCGGCGATGGCAGAAATCCCCGTGAAGGCCCGCGAGCGGAGTCGATGCATCTTTCTCCTCTCAGACACCCGGGGCTAAAAGCGCGGAGCGGGCGCCGGCGCCGCTTTTATAGCGCCGAGCTGCGGGGGCGGGGCCTCGCCGCGCGCCGCCGCCGCGACCAATGACGGAGCGTTGCGACAACGCGCAGGTGACTCAGCCGCGCGAGTCCATGACGCGCGGCGCTGCCACGCGCTCGGGGGGCGTGGCGTCATGGCGCCTCGCGGTGCAGGATGGGGGCGGCGCGGCCGGAGCCGAGTGGCGCCGAGGGGCTGAGTGGGGGGGGGGGGGGGGGGGGGGGGGGGGGGGCGCGGGGGGGGGGGGGGGGGGGGGGGGGGGGGGGGGGGGGGGGGGGGGGGGGGGGGGGGGGGGGGGGGGGGGGGGGGGGCGGGCGGGTGGCGGCTTCGCGGAGCGCGGGAGCTCTCGGCGGCGAGGCCTCCTGAGGGCGCCTAAAAATAGGCCTCCGCCCCCCTGCAGGCACGGCCGAGAGCCGGAGCGAAGAGTGGCGGAGAGCGAGCGAGGGAGGGGCGGCGGACGGGGTCGTGTGAGGCCGCGCGGGCGGGGCCCGACCCGGCAGACAAAGGAGCCGCGTGCTGCTAGGGAGGCGCGGCTCTCGGCACTGCGTGCGGCGCAGCGCTTCCTCCGTGCGGAATGACAAATAGATATCGTCAGGAGCCGGGCATCTGAAAATCAGGGAATGAAACCTTTTTTTGGCGATTGCAGACAAGAATTCTCCATTTTTTGCGTGTTTCCCCCTCGGGAGTCTGTGCCATGTATCACAAACACGGTTGTATGCCGTAGTTTAGGTTCGCGCCGTTAAGCCCGTGTGGTTTGACGTCCTGCTCGCGCTCTGTTTGCTGGACAGTGACTGCAGCAGCACTGCAGCATCTGAGGAGGGAAGGAGGTTTTGCAAAACGTGCTGAGGAGCTGCATAAGATGCAGTGCTGGTTGCATTACCTGAATTCCTCTGCGTATAAAGCGTTTACGCTACGGATAACTTTCATCGTGATTCTCCATAAGTGCTACATGAAAGCGTAAAGGAAATGGGGCTTAATGAGCTGTTTACTTTTGAGTGAGCACCTGCTAACAAACGGCCCGTTTCTGGAAAATGGTTACTGCTAGCTGTGATGATTGTAGGTGCTACACAGCACGAGTCTGTGGTCAGCCGTTCCTTGTAGGGCATGGGAGGGCACAGTGCTGCAGGGCCTGCTCAGCCCTGTGCTCTTCGGATCCTATTGAAAAAGAGAAAAAGAAAGTACATTCTGCCTGTGTGGAGGACAGAAGTAAAGTGTCTCAGAGGCACCGATTTTTCTCTTTCAAGAGGGTTCCTGTGAAACGTGAGAGAAAAAGACAGCCTTCAAGGTAAATAGGTGGAGGAGGTTTTAATTAAATCCGGAAGGCGTGGCTGCAGCCGTGGGTACACAATGCCCTGTATTAGAATAAGCTGAATAAGCAACAGTTCCTAATAGCAGCCAAGGAAACATGAATGGTGGGTGTATTTTGCATCCAAGATGCCAATGCCATTTCAGTAAGGTCAGCTGTGCCCTGACAGCTTCCTGTGTGCTTGCCCTCTGATTTGTAGGTTATTCTCACAGGTACAGGATGAGCTTTTAGCATAGACTGAAGTGAAATAGTCACCTTTGAGCTGGTGCTTTGGTCCCTCACAGTGTTGTCTTCAGCTGCTGGCAAGGATGAGGCTGAGCACTGAGCTCCCTGCAAGTGTGATGAATCTGAGCATAAATGCAGAGCAGTGCCATGCACAGGTGTCCTGTAGGCAGCAGCTACAACAGTAACATCAGTAATGGGTGGAGTTGGAAGAGTCAAGCAAGGAGTGGTAAGTTTGAAGGTGGTCTGACCAGAATAGAGGAGATAAAGCCTCTGGGGCAGGACAGAAGGTCCTGGCACTAGGTTTTAATACTCTCAGATGACCAAAATGAGTTACTAAAGGTGGAAAAAAAAAAAAAATCCACGGGTATGGATTTGTAACCACTTTGCATCTGACTTCTGCTTGTGACTGGGTATTCTGATACCCACAGTCTCCAGGTTACCAAGATTCCCTGGATATCTGACAACAGTTTAGTGAGATCTCACAACAAGGATTGCATATCACTGCTTAGTTTTGCAGTTTCACTATGCCAGAACAGACTCTTTGTCTTGATTGTTGAGTTCTTGCCCACTACCCTGATTTATCATATTGGCAGGAGCACTAGGCGCCAGTGGGCCTAGAGCCCACAAACATCTTTGGATAATAAAAGAGTCACATGTTGCTAGAGATCTGTATACCTATTGTCTGGCTTATGCTGGAGCAGCTGGTGCATGAGGAAGCCATCATAACAGTGACACCAACAGCATCAGCATTAAGTGAGAGCATCCTGTTGGGAAAAGTGTGCCATGAGGCAGCTGGGGCAGGCAGGCCTGGAAGGCGAGGTAAGCTGGGAGCCAAAGATTGCATCAGAGAGTGGTCGTGATCTTGCTGCTGAGCAGGTGAAGTCCCACAGAACCCAGACAAGAAGAACAAAGCAGGTCCACAGTTGTTGGGGGTGTCAGCCAGGAGTACAAGCTGACAGGTGGTCCCAGTGACCATAGTGATGATCTGGTCTGAGGTCAGGCTTAAAAAGGAAGCCAGCAAGCTCAGGGTCAGTGACAATAACCAGAACCAGCTACTGGTGTGGTTATCATCAGACAAACCCACAGTAATGAAGAGGATTGAGATCAGCCTTGTTGGGCCAGACTCTAGACCAGCAGGTGTATGGCCAGGCAAAGGCATGTCTCTAATATAGCTCAGACAAGCACTTCAGTGTAAGTGCAGCTCTCGAGTGAAAGGAAGCAGACCCTACTTTGTAAAGTTCTTTCCCACACAGCTGTCTGATCCAAGGCCTCTCAGCAGCATGGCAGAAATGGCTTGAGTACAGGCAGCTGAACAGGCAGTGGACCTCAGAAAGGGTGTAATGAAGAACTTATGCTCCAGTCTGAAGGGCATACGTGTATCACTGAGAAAGTATTTGGGGCTTAGAATTTGATTACCAGAGTTTATTGTGGATACATACAGGTCATCATCATACAACAAACAATTAGAGACGTAGCCAGACATACTCTGTTTACGCCACTGAATGTTGTAAAGAAGTCAGAAATGAAGGGAAAGAGGAATTCAAGAGATTACATGGAACCCCAATTCACGTAGGCATTTTCCTCATCTTTTGACATGAAGGCTCTGCTATCTTTGCAAACAAAATCCCTTGGTTTTTTTTCTTCCTTTTTGCTGTTCCTTTGAGGATGTCTCTCTTAAGACACAAAAAAGAGTCCCAGACTTGTATTGGTTTTTGTGCACTGCATAATCAACTTAATTGCAATCATAAAACTCTCAGATTTTTATGCTCAAGATGCTCAAGAAAATTGCTCAAGAAAAGAGGACAAAGCTGGAACACAGGTCATGCTGAGGACATTCCTGGCCAAATACTCAAACTATTTGATTTGTTTAACTGTATTTCTAGTGACTATGTACTGAAAGAGTGTGAACCTGTTAGCAGTGCCACAGCCCTCACCCTGGAACACTTAATGCTCCAAATTAATGCTCTCGAAATTGATATGTAGCCTCACTGCCCAAAATAAGTCTACCCATAACAAATTGTAACCACAAACTCCCTCTGTTCTGGCCACAGTTGCTGCAGCGGTGTACTTGTTTGTGACATACTTGACTCTGTAGGCAAAGACCTAAGTCATTCTTTTCCTTCACATAGCTAGGGCCCCTGAACTTGAATCTGGGAAAAAAAGCTAATATTTGGAAGGGAAAGCTCTTGTCACTGCACCGACACTCAGATACACACATCTGCTTTCAGACATGCACACAGTATGTGGCCAACAGTTGTTACAGGGTGACTGATGAGATTTCTGAGCTAGTGATTGTAAGTAGCATGCAATTTTTATGTGCAATAGTAGGATACAAACTTCAAAGAAAAATACAGAGAGGAAAAGACAAGAGCTTCCTTTTGAATGCTGGAATGCATGTTCAAGGGCTAAACAGTTCCTGCTATAGTATTTCAGGGGTGTTACATTACAGCAAAAGCTGTACAGTATCCAGGTCGGAGGTCCTTTCAGTCCTTTCATTTACCTCCCACCTTCTTATTTATATTTTGGAAGCCTGACCAGTTGTGGTCAAACATTTAAAACTCTAAGTTCAGAATAAAATTAAATGTGACAGCAGGATAACTACTGGAGCAGCTATTATTAGATTCTGAAGGAACTTTGGCTTTAGCTGAAGAACTGCAGGCACTGAAGGTTCCTGGTGCCTGCAGCTGGCTGAAGTCCAGTATTATAAAGTAATGTGAAAGCACTCCATGGTCTTTCCCTAATTCCAGCAGCACTGTGTATGCGAACACGCAAAAAACATTTGGAAGGGAAAAGAAAGCAATCAGGAAGGAAATTCAATTATATATGGTGAGTGGATGGATTTAGCAAGTCTGCCTGCTTAGAGGCATGACCGTGCAAATCGGGTAGGTGGCTAATGGAAACAAATAGCGTGCTCTCAGAGCCCTGGTGGTGTTTATGTTGTATGTAACAGTGCTGAAGGCATATGTTGGACTTTGTACATAAGAGAGAGATGGATCATGCACTTTCAAATTTATAATTATTAAGTTAACAATTTCTACAGTACAATACATATGTACTTTACCAAACACTGGTATGTTTTACTAAGTTGAACACATCTTCAGTTGTGCAGTACCCTGACTTTCCAAGGGGATTCAGATGAATTTCTGGTCCAAAGCTTTTGTCTGATTTTACCCATTTTTTTACTGAGACTTACCTCCTTTTTTTGAGGCAGATCCTTCACTGTGACTTACTCATGCAAAACTTTATTGAACCTCATTAAGAATTTTTCCTGGTAAGTAACGAGGGAACAATGGATCCTTAACCTCTCTGGTATATATGCCGTTATTAATTTCACATCTAAATTTAGCTTTCTGAACTTGGACCATCACTGTCAGTAGCAACTGACCACAAACATTAGTCCTAACCATACCAGCATTACAGAGCAATTGCCCCCTGTGATAAGACTCCTTGTCAAACTTACAACTCTTGCAAACATTTTGCTAGAATAAAAGTGAACAAA